TTTATGTGGGGCAAATTTATCAATACAAATTTGCTGCATCAGAGATTGCACACTTGTGCGGATGGATAGGAAGATCCTTGGGGCTTTTCAGAGCTCTCCTTCTAATCATTAACCAAACATTTGTAAAATAGTTATATGTTACACCCCGGGGTGGTTTCTACGTTCTCCATTTTGGTATTATTGGTTACTTAAATAAATGAACCATAGCTGTTTAGTCTTGTCTTTGATAGGGTGTCTATGGGCTCCTCTCATCCTGCTGAAAGCCGAATGGTATTTTAAGTCAGACACAGTACAGAAGATACACTTAGTGTCACATTTTGACTTCCACTGTGCCAAGGAACCCATCATTGGAATGGGCATCACAGTGGGAGCTAACATTGCTGTTGCTAAATCAGATCCAAAGAAGCTGTTTAGTCTGGAAGCAGATGACTATGTGAAAGTAGATGCCAGCTGCGATTGAGCAGAGCACAAGTGACCATGAGTCATCCCTTGGGGTCCACAGGGGTCTGGTTCCAGCTCTGCCTGTCAAAATCCAAGGATGCTCAAGTCCTTTACATAAAATGATGTAGTAAGAGGGTACTTTCAAAACTTTGTGGAAAATGGAATTAAAAGATAAATTTATTTGGGTACAAAAATTTTCAAGTTCATGTACTGAAAATTTCAAGGAAAGTGAGAATTATGAAAAGCTATTCATAGATTTCAAAACTCTTTGCACTCAAATAAACTTTTCTTTTAATTCTGTTTTCACTAATTTTTTGGAGTTCCCTTGTATTTTAATATAAACTATGCACTTCCTGCTGTCTACTTTAAATCATCTCTAGATTACTTATAAAACCTAAGACAAGGTAAATGCTATTTAGCTACATGTAGTTATTTTCTGTATTGTTTAGGGAATAATGACAAGAAAAGAAGTCTGTACATGTTCAGTACAGATGCAGTTTGGTTTTTCAAGTATTTTCAATCTACAATTGGTTCAATCCAAGGTCAACTGTACAAGGCTGGATGAGGAGGATTTAATTTTGTCCCTGTTGTATTTTCAGATGAGAATCTGTGATAAAGTACTTAAAAAAAACTGTTTTAGGAAGTTATCCTTATTCAGGCTGGAATGAAATTCTTTTTAGAAAATTTCCTTCTTTCGTTTTTTTTTTTTTTTTTTTGACAGGCAGTTAGACAGTGAGAGAGAGACAGAGAGAAAGGTCTTCCTTTTTCTGTTGGTTCACCCCCAAAGTGGCCACCATGGTTGGCACGTTGCAGCCGATCTGAAGCCAGAAGCCAGGTGCTTCCTCCTGGTTTCCCATGAGGGTGCAGGGCCCAAGGACCTGGGCCATCCTCCACTGCACTCCCGCGCCACAGCAGAGAGCTGGACTGGAAGAGGAGCAACTGGGACAGAATACGGTGCCCCAACTGGGACTAGAACCCGGGATGCTGGTGCCGCAGGTAGAGGATTAGCCTAGTGAGCCACGGCGCCGGCCTAGAATAGTTTCTTAATCCAACTAATTCTTTCAGAATCAGGAAAAAAAATCTTATGGGGAGTCTTATTTTATATTATAAGCTGAGTAAATAATTCATGGAAAGTAAGTATGATTTTTTTTTGAATTCAGGTGAATGTTTTCAGAATGGATTAAATTTAAAAAAACATAGGGAATGATATTTGACTTATTCTAACCAATATATAATCGTGAGTCAAACTGGTTGATAGCATGAAAGATATCACTTGTGTCCACAAATGCATGTAGGGCAGTGGACAGATTCTATACAATGACTGTTACTCAGAACCTTGTCTTTCATGGTGATGAATCTGCTTGGAAAGGTTCAGCAAGAACCAGGCCTTCTTTTTAGTAGGATATTATTGAAGAGCTTGTACACAAGGGTGCCATATTTAAGAATAAATCTCATTCAATTATGTTGGACAATCCCATTGTTTAGGAGAAATGATTGTAGTTCACATATGGAACTTATGCGTACCAGTCTGCATCCCAAGGAACCTGGGCTGACACCCGTTGTATAACTCCACAGGTCCTGCTCAAGCCTTATGGGCAGCAGGGGGATGACTTCATGCTAGGAATATTGGCAGGTTTGGAGGACCTCAAGAGAAATAAAAAGAAGAAATCTGTCTCCAAATACGCTGCAGGCAAAACCTGATAGAGATGCATTTCTAGGGTTTGATTTCCTAGTACTGGAATAAGTGAGCTAACAAGAGAAATAGCAAAACATTTTTAGGGGCCATGGCTGTGGCGTAGAAAGTTAAGCCTCTGCATGAGGCACCAGCCTTCCATATGAGTAACTAGACTCATGCTATTCCAAGTGCATTTTGAGCTCTGAATTTTCTTTTTTAAGCAAGGGAGAGTGTTGATCGGGTTAGTGTATACAAGATCACCTTGTTCCTGGATGCAGATGAGTTAGCAGGCACCCGTGTTGAAGATGGAAGGCCATGAAGAGCTGTTGGTGATAACCAAGGCTGATTTCTACTAGCGGCTGGCAACGGAGATGGAGAGTACAATGTTTGGCAGGGAAAAGCCAAGGATATTGGCATCAAGAGAAAGGGAGTAATCAAGGATGAGTTCCAGCTCTGTGATGTGATTATGAATGAGTGTACCCTAGCTCCATATACCCAGACAGTATTTCCCCCTCCCAAAGGGCAAAGCTTGAGGGTGGAGTGGTACAGGGAAGGAAATCACTGGTTTTCACCAGTGTATATGGCACACCTGTTATATGTAAAGCATTGTGTTAGGTGTTCAGTAAGTATTGGATATCACAGGCTTGTTGCCCAACAGTGCAGGTTTTTTACCCCATTGGCTTCCTGGTTACTAAGAAAAAGACCAAGGATAGTTCTGAGGACCATCAAGAGTGATATGAAAGTGTTGAGTGGAAAGAGGGAGGAACCAGAAGACATGTGAAGCAAATCTATTCTGAGGTCCTGTCCTCAGAGACATGCAGGACTAAGGTCCTTCACCATATCTTCCAAGGCCCTGGTTTCATCACCTGTACCTCTGCGTGTCCCATCCACTGCTGGGCTTGTTCATCCCATCCCATTATTCAAGTAGCATGAAGTATAAGCCCCCCCACCAGAACCACCTCTGGTAATGCAAGTCGCCTTCAGCCTCCCGTCCCTCCCCCCCTTTCTTTTTTTTTTTTTGACAGGCAGAGTGGAGTTGCATTGTCTAAGGTGGCAGCCTCTAGGCTTCTGTGACTTTTTCACTGTATGTTTAAGTGAATTAAATGACATAAAGTTTAGCCCCTCAGTCTTATCAACCAGAATGCAAGTGCTCAATGGCCACAGATGACAAGGGGCCACTCTGTTGGAAAGCACAGATGAATCATGTTTCTAACTCTGAAGATGGTTCTCCTGGCCAGTGTGTCTAAACCACACCAGGACTGGGGGAGACACTCCTGAGTGAGAAATCCACCAGTTCGTCTGTCAAGTCTTTCTCCCCATTCTCATGTTTTCCTTCTGTAAACTTGTGGCATCATTTTCCAGTTGCTTGCCTTTGGGGAATTCATTTACACTCCATTGGTCCTCGGTTTTCTTATTTGTGAAATGATAATTGAATGACACTATGCCTGTCTGTGCAATTAAAGAACATTAGGACCAGGCATCTTGGCTAGCAAAGAAGATGCCACTTCGGATGCCAGCATCCCATGTTGGGATGCCTTGGCTTTGCTCCTGACTCCAGCTTCCTGCTAATCCCAACCCTGAAAGGCAGTGGTGTTAGCTTAGGAAATTGGAGATATGCCATGGATATGGGAGATCTAGGTTGAATTCCTGGTTCCCGGCTTAGGACTGGTCAAGCCTTGGCTGTTGTGGGCATATGATGGAGTGGACTAGTATATGGGAGCTCATTCTCTCTCTCTCTCTCTCTCTCCCTCTCCCTCTCCCTCTCTCCCTTTCAAATCAAGAAAATAAATAAAAATTTCAAATAAATAAGATTGTTAATTAGAAAATTATTTGCAACCATGCAGGCATACTGCAAGCTCTCTATAGGTGCTGAATATTGTTATTCCTCCTGCCGTGTTTCCTGTGTTATGATGCCTGGTCATGCAGGAACATACACCAATACTCTGAAAGCAGTTCCTGCTCTCTGCACAAACTCCTCTTCTACTCATGAAATAATTGCTTGTATAATTGCTGTCCACTCTCAATTTGTAGTTTGGTGGATATATTTCTGAACAGACTAATATGAGGGGTCTTCAACTAGTTTATGGAAAATATGTGTTATGAAAAAACCATCATAGATTCAAAAATGTTTTAAACCAAAATAAACTTATCTTTTAATTCCACCATTCAACACTGGGGAAGGTAGAGTGTGTCGCTCCCTCTCTTCGTGGAGGAACGACACAGGACCCTGCGCTGTTCTTTCGTCTGCTCAGCCCTCCCCGGGTTTGCTGCTGGTTCTTCCCAGGTTGGCTACCGACCCTTCCACCTCCGTGGAAGGGCGGTTCCCCCTGCCACATTCCCCACTTCTGCGGGGGAGCGGCACACCGCCGGCGGGCTCTCTCGGGGGCTGCACAGGTGTTCCTTCAGATAGATGTTCCCCTTAGATGTTCCTGGTGCATGTTGTCTCTCTCCTCCTTTATAGTCCTCTTCCACCAATCCCAACTCTGCTACCCACACGCCGAGTACGCTGCTCTCCTCCAATCAGGAGCAAGATCAGCTCCTGCAGCTCAGTCAATCAAATTGGCGAGAGGCAGCTGCGTAGAAGCTGCTACTCCCTTCTCAGCGCCATATTGTGGGAGAGCAGATACATAGAATAAGTCTTAATTCCAGTAACTTAGTCTAGTCCGAGTTGCTCCCCACAGAGTGGAGGGAATTCCCTGAGGTTTTGGAATAAGGCAAGATCAGGAAAGACAGAGCTGGGTGTGGCAGCATAAAAGATGGCAGGGGTGAGTCCCCATCAGTCTATCAGTGGAAAATGCCCAAATGCAGATCATGTGGATGAACAGACATTTATAGAAATACATGGACTCTTCATTATTATATATTTAAAAGAGGGAGGAATTACCCAGAAATGAGCGAAGGCATTGACAAGGAATGATTTTTCCACCATGTGATCTGGAATGTCCAGGAAGGGCTTTCCTGTTACGATGCCTGCATTGTTAATGAGGATGGTCACGTCACCAACTTCTTTCCTGACCTGGCCAGAAGGAAGACAAACATTAAACCAGTCACGGTGTTGCATTTTCCTGTCATTATTTTTTCTTATTTTTTCAGGTAATTTCTGTAATACTAACTATTGTATTTCTGTTTTGTGTTTAGAAATTCAGCAGTTTTGGGGCCCACATTGTGGCATAATGGGTAAAGCTGTCATTCACAACATCAGCATCCCACATGGGTGATGGTTCAAGTCCTGGTGGTTTCACTTCCCATCCAGTTCCCTCCTAATGAACCTAGGAAAGCAGTGGAGGATGGCCTGAGACCTTGGGTCCCTGTACCCACGTGGGAGGCTCAGATAAAGCTCCTGGCTCCTGGCTTCAGCCTGCAACAGCCCTAGCCACTGTGGCCATTTGGGGAGGGAACCAGTGGATGGAAGATCTCTTCTCTCTCAACTCTCTCTTTCAAATAAACAAAATAAACAAAAACATGGAGGAGGGGCTGTTTTCTCTCTTTCATCACATTGTCTCAGACTGTAACTTGGTGGTGACATTGATAAAACACTCAGGGGCAAAGCATGAAGTGTGCTTATTTATTTATTTATTTATTTTGAATCTCATCCTGACCTGGACCTTATGCCTGACACAATCTCTGTTTCTTTGTTTCTAATCAAGAAGCATTGCCTGCCCTGACTTAGCTTTCTAACTTCTGGTCCAGGCATTGTTATGTATTGGCCTGCCAGGTAACACAATTTGGGGATATTCAGTAACTACTGTGCTTATGCAGTGGAAAGGAACCAACTGTGAAAGGAGGAGCAAATATTGCTGAGCCTATGCTGGGTTGCAGGATTAGATGGATTAGACACTGCTACTTTGGAGAGAAGTAGGACAGAGGAAAATATTACTTGGGCCATCCTCTGCTGCTTTCTCAGGTGCATTAGCAGGAAGCTGGATTGGAAGTGGAGCAGCTGGGACTTGAACGGGTGCCCATGTGGGACGCCAACACTGCCAGCAGCAGCTTAACCTACTATACCACAGTGACAGCCCCAGGAGAGGCTGACAGTTAAAGCAGGGCACCCCCTTGACTTGGTAAGGTAATCAGTGTGAGCAAGCTTTCACATCCAGACCAAAGACAGGAGCACATGGGCCCAAAGGAAGTGGAATATTTGGTATAAAGTCTTCCTTCCTTCCTTCCTTCCTTCCTTCCTTCCTTCCTTCCTTCCTTCCTTCCTTCCTTCCTTCCTTCCTTCCTCTCTCTCTCTCTCTCTTTCTCCCTTTCTTTCTCTCTTCCTTTCTTTCTCTCTTTCTAAATATATTTAGTTTTCTAAATATATTTAGTTTTCTGAGAACATCTCATGTCATATTTCTGCCTGCTTTGCAAAATGAGAGCTGATTTGGATTTTACTTGTTCCTCACAAAAATAAACCTAGGGGCCTATAATACATATATTTCCCTTAGATGATGATGAGTTACAAGAAACAAATGCTACTGGGCCCCTAACAAAAAATAAGGCAACAGAAAATGAATGATGAGGAAGATTCGGAAAGGGGGTTAGAAGGTGAATGTCACAAAGTAGCAATTCAGTAACCATTTTGAATTAATCAATAAGTGAATTCCACATCTGCAGCTCAGTTGGCTACAGGAAAGGAAAACTCCTTAGGGCTTTTGTTATTAAACTTATGCACCCTTTTGGATCACAGGGCCTGGTTCTAGATGACTGGAGCTCTAGAATTCCCTGAAATCATTTAAACCAATCAATCCTAAGCCTGCTTACCCTGCCTTGACCATTCTTGTCAGTGGCAACCAAATTAAGACACTTGCCTCTCATTCCCTCATCCTTTTGCCTCCTGACTGACTTGACCCCAAGGCTTCCTGCAGTGGCTCTGTATCCTGTGCTCTGCTCCCCAAGGCACTGAGTGGAAAAAAACTAAAACACCAACCTGTTTCTCTTGGTCCATGTCTGCCCTCACCGTACCTCACAGAGTGGTTAAAACACTACCTAAAAGTTTGCCCACTGCTGTTAAAAGTCTGCACAATAAATAAATATGATTTATTTATACACATAAATATCATTTATAATATTCATTTATACATATATTATCTATAATATTTATACATATATGCACATACAGTAAATATTAGCTGTGAATGTTAGTGTTCATTAACATTTAGCATGAAGTTGGATAGCAACAGGCTAACTGTAAGAGAAAATTTAGTCTAAAATATGCTAAATGGTTCCGCTTTATATTCCATACTGTATATCCTCAGTACCTGATGATAAGGAATTATCTCACTTTGAGATGGAATTTTCATATACTTAGAATCATGAAATATAAGAAGTAATGTTAAAGCTAGATAGGATTTTTTTTGCTTCTCTATTCTTTTTTTTCCAACTTTTATTTAATAAATATAAATTTCCAAAGTATAACTTTTGTATTTATTTTTTAAAAGTAATTTCTTTTTTAAAATTTATTTGACAGATAGTTAGACAGTAAAAGAGAGAGACAGAAAGGTCTTCCTTCCATTGGTTCACCCCCCAAATGGCCGCTACAACCGGTGCGCTGCGCCGATACAAAGCCAAGAGCCAGGTGCTTCCTCCTGGTCTCCCATGTGGGTGAAGGCGCCCAAGCACTTGGGCCATCCTCCACTGCCTGTCCAGGCCACAGCAGAGAGCTAGACTGGAAGAGGAGCAACCGAGGCTAAAACCCGGTGCCCATATGGGATGCCGGTGCCTCAGGCAGAGGATTAACAAATGAGCCATGGTGCAGCCCTAAAGTACAGCTTTTGGATTATAGTGGCTTTTCCCTCCCACCCGCAACCATCACATCTCCCACTCCCTCTTCCATCCCATTCTTCATTAAGATTCATTTTCAATTATCTTTATATACAGAAGATCAACTTAGTATATAATAACTAAAGATTTCAATAGTTTGCACCCACACAGACACACAAAGTATAGAGTACTGTTTTGGTAGTAGTTTTACTGTTGATTTGCATACTACAACACATTAAGGACAGAGATCCTACATGGGGAGTAGGTGCACAGTGACTCCTGTTGTTGATTTAACAATTGACACTCTTATTTATGATGTCAGTAATCACCTGTGGCTCTTGTTATGAGTTGCCAAGGCTATGGAAGCCTCTTGAGTTCACCAGCTCTGATCTTATTTAGACAAGGCCATAGTCAAAATTGAAATTCTCTCCTCTCTTCAGAGAAAGGTACCTCTTTCTTTAATGGCCTGTTCTTTCTGCTGGGTTCTCACCCACTCTCACCCACAGAGATCTGTTCATTTAGAGATTGTTATATTTTTTTTTAGCTCTTCGCCACAGTGTCTTGGCTTTCCATGCCTGCGAAACTCTCATGGGCTTTTTAGCCAGATCTGATTGCTTTAAGGACTGATTCTGAGGCTAGAGTGCTGTTTTGGACATCTGCCATTCTGTGAGTCTGCTGGGTATCCCACTTCCCATGTTGGATCATTCTCTTCTTTTTAATTCTATCAGTTATTATTAGCAGACACTAGTCTTGTTTATGTGATCCCTTTGACACTTAATCCTATCATTATGATCAATTATGAACTTAAACTCTTTGACTAGTAAGGTAGCATTGCTACATGCCACCTTGATGGGATTGTATTGGAATCCCCTGGCATGTTTCTAGCTCTACCATTAGGGTTAAGTCCGAGTGAGCATGTGCCGAACTGTACATCTCCTCCCTCTCTTATTCCCACTCTTATATTTAACAGAAATCACTTTTCAGTTAAATTTAAACACCTAAGAATAATTGTGTGTTAATTAAAGAGTTCAATCAATAGTATTAAGTAGAACAAAAAAAAAAAAACCTAAAAGGAATAAAATAGTAAGTTGTTCCTCGACAGTCAGGACAGCTGATCAAGTCACTGTTTCTCATAGTGTCTACTTCACTTCAACAGGTTTCCTTTTAGGTGCTCAGTTAGTTGTCACTGATCAGGGAGAACATATGATATTTGTCCCTTTGGGACTGGCTTATTTCACTCAGCATGAAGTTTTCCAGATTCCTCCATTTTGTTGCAAATGACTGGATTTCACTTTTTTTTTTACTGCCATATAATATTCTATAGAATACATATCCCATAATTTCTTTATCCAGTCTACTGTTGATGGGTATTTAGGTTGATTCCACGTCTTAGCTATTGTGAATTGAGCTGCAATAAACATTGAGGTGCAGACAGCTCTTTTATGTGCCAATTTAATTTCCTTTGGGTAAATTCCAAGGAGTAGGATGGCTGGGTTGTATGGTAGGGCTATATTCAGGTTTCTGAGGAATCTCCAAACTGTCTTCCACAGTGGCTTTACCAGTCTGCATTCCCACGAACAGTGGATTAGTGTGCCTTTATCCTCACATCCTTGCCAGCATCTGTTGTTAGTTGATTTCTGTATGTAAGCCATTCTAACCAGGGTGAAGTGAAACCTCATTGTGGTTTTGATGTGCATTTCCCTCATGGCTAGTGATCGTGAACATTTTTTCATGTGTCTGTTGGCCCTTTGGATTTCCTCTTTTGAAAAATGTCTATTTAGGTTCTTGGCCCTTCTCTTATTTTTTTTAAAGACTTTTTTTTTAAATTTTTTGACAGGCAGAGTGGACAGTGAGAGAGAGAGACAGAGAGAAAGGTCTTCCTCTACCATTGGTTCACCCTCCAATGGCCGCCGCGGCCGGCACACTGTGGCCAGCACACCACACTGATCCGAAGGCAGGAGCCAGGTACTTATCCTGGTCTCCCATGGGGTGCAGGGCCCAAGTATTTGGGCCATCCTTCACTGCACTCCTGGGCCACAGCAGAGAGCTGGCCTGGAAGAGGGTGAGCCGGGACAGAATCCAGTGCCCCGACCTGGACTAGAACCTGGTGTGCCGGCGCCGCAAGGCGGAGGATTAGCCTAGTGCGCCGCGGCACCAGCTGTTGGCCCTTCTCTTAAGTGTTTTGTTATTGTGGAGTTTCTTGATCTTTTGGTAGATTCTGGTTATTAATCCTTTATTGGTTGCATAATTTGCAAATATTTTTTCTCATTC